CTTTGAATTGCATCTGGAAATAAACAGGCAGCCAGTGGAACTGTTGCAACAAGGGAATTGTGTGCTCCCTGTAACCATCCCCAGTTAACAATCTGGCTACAGTTTTTGGGACCTTGAAGTTTCTGAGCACTTTTCAAAGACAGACTCACATAGAGCACATTACAATTATCCAAACAAGATGTAATCAAGGCATATGTCATCATGGCTAAATTAAACATCTCCAAGAACAAGCGCAACCAATCCTCTTAAGCTGAATCTGGGGGGAAAAAAATGAGATCTTGGTGTTTCAGCCTGACCATCCTGTAGCCCCTCTTTCATAACCTCCACTGTGTTTACAGTTTGCACATAGGCTCCTGTTTCAGCTGCCAGGAACCTTCGTGTCCTTCTGGATGATTGTTTGTCCTTGCACACCTTTATTGGGGCAGCAGCAAAGGCAGGTAATTTCTATCTTTTGAACATCCGTAGAATTTGTAGGTTTTTGACTGTTGAGGCTGCCCATCTGCTTATCCAGGCTTTGGTTATATCACATTTAGCAGGTTTGCATTCTTGTTCTCTTGTTCCTCTGGTTTTAATTCAGAACAGCGCCATCTGAGTTGTTTTAAATCTTCCTAAACATTCACATGTTTCTTCCCCTCTGTAGATTCCTTTATTGGCTATCAGTAAGGGCTAGGGCCTAATGACATCATTGCGGGCTGCGGACCGCACCAGGTGACACTCTAAGGGAGGTTGACACCGCTGCTCCTCAAACATCTTCTTTTGGGCAGAAATGGGCTGTATCATTTTCCTGTGTCCTTTAAAAACACTGAAGAAATTGTGTGAGTGGGATGAGGCTTGTTGGGAGGAAAAAGGAGAGGCCCTAGGCTTCTTTTAAATTTTCAAAAATTATTTTCCTTTAAAAACATCACATTTTACCAAATTTTCATTTTAACCACATGAAACTATGGTGTGGTATGGGAAAAAGATCAATGGGAGGGTGATACTTTGAGTTACGGGACTGGGTGACACCAACCCTAGTCATGGTCAGTGCCCATTTTAAACTTGTGGTTCTTGTATTTAGGACTCTGCTCTCTAATCTCCCCAAGTACCTGACAGCTAAACTAGCATGGTATGCACCATCTAGGAATTTAAGATCTATAAGCAAAGGATTATTGTCTGTCCCCCCAATGCACACAGCTCTTTCAAGTCTTTCAAAATATGGCTCTGAATGTGTGGAACTGTATTCCTTTGGATCTCCAGCTGGAGGAGGATCTCAACCATTTTCATAAAGGGTTGAAGATATTCCTTTTTGATTCACAAGATTAGGCTTCTGAGTTGTGCCTGAGGTTGCTGAGATGGGTAGTGGCTGTTGGGATGTTGGGAATTTTATGCATATTTATAGTGTTATGTCTTATTTCCTCCATCTTTGATTGTATATTTTTGATATGCCACCCTTTGGTGGAAAGGGTGGTATAAATAAACATTGTGGATAATATTATTTAAATGTGAAAATATATTTCTGGCCATCACAGAAACCTGGAGCTGAATTTGGGAGTACATCCAGAAAATGCATCTTAAGAGGGAGGCCCCCATCCATGAGAGGTTGAATCCCTCTTCCATCAGCCCATATATGCTAGATAGCATGGAGGACAAGACAGCACTCAAAGGGTAACAGCCAAGGAGTTAAACAGGAACCCTGGAGCATGATTGAAATGGACCTAGCTATTGTATCTCATCCAGGAATCTCTGAAACTGAGAGCCCACCACATACTTCAGCACATTGCCGAACGATGGAATATATGGAGACTTGTTTTTGTTGTTGTATGCCTTCAAGTGGTTTCTGACTTATAGTGACTCTAATATGAACATGTCATAGGTTTTTCTTGGCAAGATTTGTTCAGAGGTGGTTTGCGTTTTTTGATAGTTTTCTGATATAATGGGACACAGGGAAAGTTTTTTTTTTTTTTGGTACATGTCCTACAACAGCCTCCTTCAGCACAAATGGAACAGCCTCCTTCAGCACAAATGGAAATAAAACAAAATTTCTGCAAGTTCCATTGATTCAGTGGGTCTATACTAGTTGGGTCCTAGCACTTGGATGTAGGCCAATTTGGTTTTTCCTCATCAAAAATATTGTTTTATTCATACACCAATTTATGCAATTTTCATCAAGCAAATTATTAAACAGAACTTTAACTGAGTTATGGCTGTAACAGAATCATTTATGTGATGAGTGATATTTTCCTCGCTTGGGTAAGTGACCAACATCAATTATGCAAAGTACATTTCTCACAATGAAAAATAAGTCAATCTGTGCTGTGTATTGAATCTATGATGTCAAAGTGATTTAAGAATACAAGATAGGAGAACATCACTGCCCCTTTGAAGTGTCTTCCTTCTTTCTAACCTACTGATAGACATTCACATTATTTCATGTCACACCCCAGGAAGGGAAAAAAATGAACTCATCATTGCTAAAATGCTTTAACTCCAGTGTCTCAATGAGTAATTAAAATTGAGTCATGGGGTTTTCTGAGAGCCAACCCTGATGTAATGCAGTTTGGGCCACTAGGAAGCTTTTAGATGTGTTATCCATTTATAATTTATTTCTGAAGTCACATGCTACCAAAGCACAGCTTACATAATGCATGCTCACAGAGGAAAAGTGCTTAGAGTGCTTCAGTCTGGCAAGCAGCCTTTTCATGTCAACACTAAAAAGTGATTATATGATTGTAAGTATGAACACTGGATGTTCATAAAGCTATGCATAACATAACATCCCAACAAAAGTATACATCCAGACCTATGAATCTATCCATTTTTATAGTGCTTGTGTTACCTGTTACTCCTTTTGACTTAATTTAATTAGCAGAGATTTTATGAGCTGACACAAAAAACAGATGCTACAATTCTCTATGTGGTAAATGGTTTGACAGTCCCTTGT